ACAACAACAACAACAAGTTTGGTTTTGTATAGGGCATGAGGTAAAGGTCTTGTTTCATTCTTTTGCATATTGCTTTTCAGTTCTGCCAGTACCATTTGTTAAAGAGACTATCTCTTCCTCATGCAATATGCCTAGGCACTTTGTTGAAAATCATTTGGCTGTATATGGTTGGGTTAATTTCTGGATTCTCGATTCTGTTCCATTGATCAATGTGTCTTCCATTGTACCAGTACCAGGCTGTTTTGACGACTGTGGCCATGTAGTAAAATTTGAAATTGGGGAGTGAGAGACCTCTAAACTTGTTCTTCTTCTTAACCAGTGCTTTGTTGCTTATCCTGGGTTTCTTTCCTTTCCATATAAAGTTAGTAATTGTCTTTTCCATCTCTTTGAAGAATGTAGTTGGAATCTGGATTGGCATTGCATTATGTATGTAAATTGCTTTGAGCAGTACTAACATTTTCATGATGTTGAGTCTTCCTATCCAGGAACTTGGTATGTTCTTCTACTTCTGTAGGTCTCTTTTGGTTTCTTGTAGTAGTGTTTTGTACTTTTATTTGTGTAAGTGCTTTGTTTCTCTGGTTATGTTTATTCCTAAATATTTCATCCATTAGGCAACTATTGTAAATGTTATTGCTTGCCTAATGTGTCCTTTTTAGTGCTATCATTGTTGCTATAGAGAATTCCAACTGATTTTTGTATGTTGATCTTATACCCTGCCACTTTGCTGAATCTTCCAATGAGGTCTAGTAGTTTTGTTTTGTTTTTTACTGAGTCTTTGGGCTTTTCTATGTCTGGGATCATATTATCTGCAATAATCTTTCTGCTTTTTGACCATTACTATTAAGAGGCTAAGAACATTTATGTACACATTTTTATGTGGAAGTATGTTTTGAATTCTGTAGTCACTGATTTCTGGGTCATATAACATATGGAAGAGAACTATATTTGTGTTCATTTCAAAGAAAGGTGACTGTCTTTGCTGTCTAGTGCTGCTGTAACAGAAATACCACAAGTGAATGTCTTTAACAAACATAAATATACATTCTCACAGTGTAGGAGGTCGTCAGTTCAGTTATGGCTGGCAGCGTGACACTGGAGCAGACCTAGATTTTTAAAATGTGTGTGAACTGGAACTGGAACACTAATCAGAGTAGGGTAAATGATGGGCTCAGTCCCTGCTAGAAACCTAATCTTCCTCTTAAAAAACAAGGGTAGCCTGTACGTTGCATAGCAATCAAATCTCTTGACCATCTGAGTTGGAAATAGTAGTGCTTGGGTTAAAGATGGCAGCTGGCTGAATCTTGTCATTCCACAGACACCTGACCGTAATGTAATGTCCTGCATCAGGCTCCTGAAAGGGCCCACTGTAGCTCTGCTGAGTTTCTATTCCAGGGTTTTGTTCTGGAATTTTTCTTGCTCCAGATTACCCAAATATTAAAAAATTTCATCTGTTCTGGCGTTGTTCATCAGCCATGACCTAGCCAATTCAAAGAGACTTGAAGCCCTTATTTCAGTATTTTTTTGTGTCCTTGTATTTCAGCCTGAAGGATTTTCTTAGTATTTCCCATAGGACAGATCTGCCAACAACAGACTCTTGTTTGATTGTTGGTCAGTGTATTAATTTCTCCTTCATTTTGGAAGGATAGTTTTGCTCAATATACAATGCTTGGTTGATAGTTTTTTGTTTTGTTTTTCAATTCAGCATTTTGAATATGTGTCATCCCCTGCTCCAGGACTTTATGGTTTCTGATGATCAATCTCCTTTTAGTTCTGTTCAGGAGCCATTGTATGTAATGAGTTGCTTGCTTTCTGTACCATGATTTAAAAAATTATTTGTGTTTCAGCAGCTTGCTCATGAGGTGTCTATGAGTGAATCTCTTTAAGCTTATCCCATTTGGAGTTTGTTAAACTTCTTGGAGGTGTAAATGAATATTTTTCATCAAATTTGTGGGTTTTTTGGAGCCGTTCTTTTTCAAATCCTGTTTCTACACTTTTTGCTTCTCTCCTGAATCTTTTATTATGC